AGACGATTGTTGTGCGGTCCAAAGAAGAAGAAGAAGGCCATAGCCGCGGAGCTCGGACACGGAGGAGAGTGAGAGAGAAGAAGAAGCGAAGGAGGGAGGAGAGACGAGTAAGGAAGAAGAAGCCATAGCTAAGGAAGGAGGAAGGAGGGACGACGAAGAAGAAGGGAGACATAGCCGGGGGTGAAGGGGAATTGAGGGAAGGTGAGAGAGAAGGTGTTGGCAGCCATAGCCAAGTTGACCATTGACCCCAGAGTTGACCCAAGTTGGGTTGACCAGGGCGTTGACCGGGGGTTTGACCGGCCTTGACCAAGCGTTGACCAAGGCGTTGACCGAAGCTGCTGACCACGAAATTGACCAAGCTGGAGTTGGTATAATCTCACCAAACCCTTAGCCTGTTCCCTCGCCCTATGGATGTGCACTCACCCCATGGTACTTGCTGAGTCTGTTTGTCTCGTCTTTCTGCATTGAGTCTCTTTTGTCCAGGTGATAGGAACTCCGTGTATGAAGGATAGAGCCTTGTTGACCAAACCCACACGGGCTGAGTAGGGCTAAAGACCGTGTCTGACGACTCGACTGTCCGGGAGGACACGAACCCTCCCAAGGACCGGTACTGACCGGCGGGCTGCTCGGTGTGGCACGGTAGGCCCAAAATCCGAGTTGTGGGCTGCACAACAGGCTGTCTAAGTCTTGAGAGGACTTGCTGATCGCGTCGTCCTGTCTGCGACGTTAAATAATTCCTGAGGAGTTACGGGGGATCTCCTTAAATGCCTCCTGATCAGCAGTGAGTCATGTAGTGACAACCTTAGTTCTAGGTCTAGGCTAGAGACCATAGCTGATAGGATCTTACCAAGATTTTGTGGTCCTTAGAGAGTCCGTCAGTAAGTTCAGAGAGTAGGTCTAAGTGGTGAGGAGTGGGGCAGTCCTTGTCGTGCACCTGACACCATGGACGACTACCCTATGTACGGCTTGCTCGTGGGGTTCTCCCTGTGGGGGACCCTCTGGCGTCTCCTTTTTCCCCCGGGGTTCTGGAACACCTCACGTGTAGAGTAGACACGAGGGGTGGTACTAGTATCAAGCCCTACACCAAGGAGCAGGAGGTGAGATGCGAGGATCTTGGCCGAGCAGAAGTCCAAGAAAGAGAAGAAGGAGGTTGCGAAGCAGGCCAAGAAGTTGGCCTTGTTGCAAGAGCAAGCCGAAAAAAGGAACAAACTGGAGGAGGAATTGGAAAGGATAAGAAAGGAGGAAGAAAAGTTGAAAGCAGCGGAAGTGGAAGAAGAAGAAGAAGAAGAAAAAAAGGTGGAAGAGGAGGAGAAGAAGTTAGAGAAGCATCAGGGACAGAGGAGAGCCAAGTGGCACGAAGGAGGAGGGGAACTCGTGGTTGGAGAAGAAGGTCTCTGAATGGGTTGCTAACCTGTCTCTGGGAGAAGAAGAGGAGGCGATGTTATATGTTCCCAGGGAAGAACAGGAGGCGGTCGTGAAGGAATTGGAAGTTGAGGAAGACCCTCTCCCACGGCAGACGATCGAGGAGGAGAAGAAGTTAGAATGGAAGTTGCGTCTAACCAGGGAAAGAAAGAAAAGGATGGAGGCGGCAAGTAAGGCGGCGAAGGAACTGGAGGAGGTGAAACAATTAAGAGTGCAAATGGAGGCACAGGCGGAGTTGAAAGGAAAAATGGAAGTGATGGCGAGAAACATAGAACGCCTGGTGGAGATTCAGGAGGAGCAATATCAATTTGGGAGGAGTCAGGATATAGCCATCTGATCCATACGACAGGGGTTTAGAGAATGTGCACGCGAGATAATCATGCACGTGGGCTCGAAAGTGCAGACGAGATTAGAGAACACTGAGCGATTTTGTACTGGTGCCATAGAGGGCGCCACCAAAAGAGGAAGAAGCTCGCCCCCGTAAGGAGCCCGTTAAGGTGAAGTTTCCTGATTCCTACAGTGGGAAGAAAGAGGAGAACTTCGATAATTGGGAGGCCAACATGAATTCCTACGTGCATTTGCAAAAGATATCGCCTGACGAACATGTCCTGATAGCTTTCCATGCCCTCAAGGACGAAGCAGCAAGCTTCGCCAGGTCGTTGTGTCGTGCTGCTAATTGCAATAACGATATGGTGGTCTATTCCGCCTTCACCCCTCTTAATAAGTTCTTTAAATTGTTGCGCGAAAGGTTTGCAGATGTCACACGAAGTGTTAGAGCTTCTGACAAACTGCAAACCATCCATTCACGCCAGTGGAGGAGCGCCAGGGCACTCAAGGGTGTCATTGATGAGTTCGTCGCCGTTCCTGATCATGGGGTCATAGAGACCCAGTTAGTCAACTTGTTTTGTCGTGCCATGCTCGAGCCTTTGCGCGGGCACTTCTTTGATACTTTTGAGTAGGGAAGTGGTAGCATTCGAAGCACAAGTCCATGCCAGATTCCACTTTCTGGCATAAGGACCTTGACAAGGGAAAGAAGTGGAAGGGCCGTACCATCTCGGGTCAGGTCAAGGGCAAGGATCACCTGATCCTTACATTAGATGAGGGTGGTATGGAAGAGGTCCCATACGATCAGATAGAGTGGGGCCTAGAGGAAGAGGACAATAGCGCTAGTCAGGGGAGGACTTACGTTGCTGTCGCGGCTGGAGAGAGGCCGCAAGGAAGTGGGAGAGGCCAAGGCCAAGGGGGCCGGGCCTCTGGTGGTCGTGGGCAGGGCGATAAGGGGGATGGTGGAAGAGGAGGCCGCCAAGCGGGAGGTAGGGGTCAAGGTCCCCCACAAAACCGCTCTAGTTTTAATCGGTCACCTTACAGGAGGAGTGGATGGCACCCTGGTCTGCCACAGGGCAGGCCTTGGGAAGATGTGGGCCTAGAACAAACAGTCTGGCAGAGGAGGATTGATCAGGATCAGTGCATTTACTGCGGTGATCCTGGTCATATTATTAAATACTGCCCTAAGTATAGAGAGGCCCGATTTGTTGCACAAGCAACAAAAGGCAACCGTCGGTAGGGGTCGCAATTGCCCTTTCCCCTAGACCATGTGGAGAAGAGTGCGCGCACCACATAGGAGCTCCCAAACCACATGCGTCTATGACAGAGGTTGCTGGCCAGTGCCTAGATAGTTGTCCAGAGATTGCTTGTGTTAGAGTCTCTCTAGGCACTTCCCTCACAGGCGTGGCAAAAAAATTGAAGGAGAGGATGCCTGCCTGGGCCAAGATGAAGAGGGATGCGAAAGGACAGCTAGTCTTAGTAGATGTAGAGATTTTTAGAGGCAGAGTAGGGGCCCTTATAGGCAGTGGGGCCACCCACAGCTATATCAGTAGGAAAGCGCTGCAGAAGTTGAAGCTGAATCTTGAAGTCCAAAAGTTAGAG